TTAAGACATTGCGGCAATATTTGACTGTTTTCATATATTAAAAAAATCCTAGCCTCTTACTAGGAAGAAAAAAAATATTCTATCACTAATGTCAGTACATAACTTTAGGAAAGCTCTAAAGTATTATAAAAGAAATACACATCTAGAATGATCCACAACTACAGAAAAAAAAAAAAACTTAAAATAAATTAAAGCTACTTCCTATCATCAATTATAGACCAAAACACTACTGAGATGGATGTAATGATGGTATTGTCACTGTTACCATCTCAGGAGCTGGTCCAAAGTATTAGAAATAGATCAGAACCAGACTGGTTGGGTATTCATTGTGAAGATGCTCTCTGTTAGATACCCTACAGAATCTGCTACAACAGAATTTGAAACTTGGATTAGGGTTTTTGGTCACTACAGTAAAAATATTTATAAAAATAATGGCTAATATAACCACCACTGAATGAAAAATTAGGTAGAAATTATTAGAATCTATTCTAAAAATATAGGAATTGTTCAAAAACTACTTTTGTTTTCCTCACCAGTGTTATTTCGTGTATTTGATTTCCTCCAGTCAAGTTCAGAATCTTTCATGTTATATGAACATTCAAGTCTTTATGAAAATTTCTTAACTGTTTGCAGAAAGGCGGTTTTCAAATCACATGGATGAATAAGAAGAAAGAAGTGTAAATTACGCAGTAAGAAGAATATGTGAGTTAGAGGAATCCTGAAGTCACCCTGAGAAACTTGTTTTCAAAAACCCTACAGTTTATTCATAACCATCACAATTTAATAACTTGTATTCATAATAAATACTTAAAACTTATGTAAAAAACATATTCTTCAAAATACATTATTTGAGTACAAAGAGATCTACTTTTGGTGTATTCTGCTCAGAATAATATACAGAATATATATGTTTATGTGGAAATTGTTGTATGAATAAGTCCAATGGCTTAGACCAGTGAGGTGAAAATTTGATAATGGAACATAAAGAAACCCTTTCAAGTATGAGGATTTATATTTTTTTCTACATTATAATTTGTAATATAGCTGCTGCTGTTTTCATTTATCCATGCAACGGCCTAAGCCTCAAACAACAAAGCAGCAAACACCGAAATCCCCACTATTAACCCCTTGGTTTCAATCACACCCCATAATCATAAGTTTGACAGATTACTGTATTATTTGTGTCAAATGTATATAATTTTATCAAATGTGTATGATCTTATCAGTTCATGACCTGGTTGCCCTTCGGTTGTTTTGCTGCCTTGCTGCTCTCTTGTTATTGAGAACGGCAAAGGAAAGCGCCCAGCTTACCTCCTCCTTTATCACACAGTCTCCTGTTTACTTCATGTCCCTACCACAGCTTGTCTAAATTAATTAACACTAAGCATTTGATATGACTTTGCATCGAAATATTTTCTGTATTTTTGCTGTTACACTATGCATTTCTACGGAATGAGCGGACTGGCTAGAGCAACATAATGACATGTTTTGTGTAAGAGTTTTGTAATACGTTTTTAGTGCATTTTCAATTCAATTCCTCTTTACAACCTGCCATTTTATTTCCTCCTTGCTGGCTTTGTACACTGGGGGACACTTTCAGGGAATTATTCCGCGGACTTTTTTCTCAAGAAGAGTTAAAATTTCTCACGATGATATGCATCGCCTTCCTCATTTATCTTTTCGACTGTTCTGCACTGAACGCACCCGTTGGAACGCAGCGCGGGAATCACCAGGCAGACACAAACTTGAGCAGAGACACTCCTCTGGCACAGCGAAAGCTCCACGCAGAGCTACCAGTGTCCGTTTGTAGCTGTTGCGCTGACGGCACAGCTGAAGCGAGTTAAGTTCTCTCAGCTGTTCCGCCGTGCTGACACTGCTCTGCAGCTTTCAATTCCAGAGCGAGCTGGGGCGGAAGCAGACTGGGTTTTCTGGACCACGCTTCGCTGCACAATGTGGGCATACGTAGTCGGTTAGAGATTCGATCGACCTAAACCGTTTTATGTCATCTGCAAATCCTGCCCCCTTCTTCTCGTTTCCATTTCTAGATAATTAATTTTTTTAAACTCCATGGATCTCTGCAGAGACACTTTGGGAATTCTGCCTCTGCTAAGATGTTCCATTTATCCTGACCATTTTTTGCTCTTAGGCACAGAGAGTCTGGTAATGCTTTGCCCTGTGACAACACTTGCTTACTTCAGTAGCTGCTTCTACTACACAGACGCTATGCTAAAGGCTTTTTTTGACAGTTCAAAACACTATATTGATTAATTCTCACCCACTCTATCAAAATTCTAATAGACTGACAATCTTTCTGGGCAATTTTCCTGGAGAGATGCCAGCTGCCTTGTTCCTAAAAGGCCATAGTCACAATTTTATGTCCTGTGATAAGGTTGCTCACTAGTCGCTGATTTCTGGTACCTTTTTTAACATTAAACACAACTTCTGACATTCTTTGGTTACCTGCTTTTGTTAGAAACTGAAAATTAAAGCAGCACATAATCCACTGACTCCTTCCTTTTTGTTTTAGTCAATTTTTCAGCAACATCCTCTCCCATGACTCATTCTTGAACATTTATTTGAAATTATAAGCTGCGATGGGTGGCTTCCTAAATATGCCCGTCTGTCTTTCTCCATCCCTCCTCTGGTAAATACAAATGCAAAGAAACAGTTTAGAATCTCTGCAACATCCCTGCCATCACTAACTGCAGCTCGAGAGACCCACCAATTCTCTCCTAGCTTACTACACTCGACATCTTAAAAACTGTCTATTTATTTGCCTGCCTTTGGCTAATTCCTCTAAGAAGTCCTTCTTATCTCTACCGGTTACTATCCTGAAGTTTACCTGCTAGAACTTATGCTCTTTTCTGATCATTTTGCTGAAGAATCTCTCTTTTAAGGGACCTTTTTAGTTCCAATAGTTGTTGTATTCTGCAATATGCTTTTTCTTCTTTGCTACTGATCTTTTGTATGGCCATTGCCATACATGCTGCAACTTTTTATAGAGTATTTTTGCTGAATATGAGTGTTCCGTTTCATACATTTTAATCACTTCTTTTTAAAAGAATCATTCTACTGACAAACTGATTTTGAGATGGTCTTGTTAAGAAGTTGAATTTAATTTTCTTAAAATTGCAATTACCCACCGGCTCAACTAAAGTTCCTTCCTGACCCAACTTCCTCCTATGCATTCCTCCTGCCTTATTCATTGCATACATTATTATTCATTAATTATTTACTCATTGCTACAGCTATTGTGCTCACTTTCTTTTCTTTGCTCCTGTTATTTCTATACAAATATAAAATTTTACTAAAGAAAATATTAAGTAAAGGAAAATAAAACAGAGAAATATTACTCTTGTTTTGTAGCAGTTTTATCTTTGAGGTTCAAAGAAAAAAAGCAAAACTAAATCTGGATTCTCAAGTGTGGAATACATAATACCACTCATTTATATTGTTTACTTCTGGCATTTTACCTCTAATTTGTTACGCCCTTATACTAGAAAAGTGTAAAATGTAGACCAATGTCTGTATCTAAACACATTGTTTAACAATACTACTTATGTTAGCTGAACAAAATTTAAAATCCCTAAACTATCAATAAAATAAATACTTCCTTGTTATTTGAAATAAAATTTCCAGGCCTAGAACAAAACAGAACAGAACTACCATGTCACCAGATATAATCATTGTAATGCACATACCACATCGGAACTCGGTTGTGACTAAACCATCAGTGCTACAAAACTCAAATTTTTAACTGAAGTGTTGGAGATGAAATTACTACTGCTGAATTACAGCTTAGTACTGAAGATGGCACCTAAAGATGATTGACACCTGACATTTTAGCCTACACAAATTGTCTCAGGACAGGGTTTTTAGGAATGGCTTTCACATATCAGAATTGGTATCCAAATTTAGAAGCTTTCAGTAAAGCAAAGCTAAAGAGTGAAGTGGTAAAAAGACCTCTCTGAAGGACTGAAATACCTGGACAGCTAAATAAGAAGGGAGAACCGAGCTGTCTGTGCTGAGAATAATCGGTAGCAAAGATCTTCACACGCCAGGACTGCCAGTGCAGCACCTTTCAGAACAACTAAATACATTATAAAAATAAATAAATTCATACCATTCAGTGAGATTCTTTTTTTTACCCTTGATCTGCTGTCCTAAAAGGCTTTTGTTTCTTTAAAAGGGTCGGTATTGCAATGTTAATGTCTTTGGCTTATTTGGATGAGATAAACATCATAAACTCTTCAAGTCAAGGAGATTACAGTCTCTAATAAAATACAGAAGGCTGCTAAATAGAATGAAAAGACATATTAGATCAAAGTATTACTCAAGGGTTCTACAACGGGCTCAGACTCCAAAAGGAATTATGAAGGTCTTTTTGAGATCTATCACACTCTTTACAAAAGGTGACTAAAGAAGGAGGCAAGATTTTAGAACAAGACAGAAGGCACAGAGGAGCACTGACAAAAGTCAATACTATGTAGGCTGAAAGACGAGCAGGCAAAAAGTGTTGCCTTCTTCCTTCCAAACCCTTAATGTTAACTATGTAAATAGTTACTTCAAAATAATACACCTACTGTTTATTCACAAGATACTGCTCAATCATAAAAAGAAGCTCTTAGGACAGTTCTCCAGACTCAATTTTATTCTTAAAAAATGTTAGCCTGGCAATGTCAGTGTTTAAACCATCTATCCAAGAAAATTTTGAAAATAATCCAGCAATAGAAAACAAAATTGAGGGGCTCTCCCACTAATATCAGCTGACACTTTTGTTGTTGACAATCATGTCATACTAAAAACAATCAAGATTTTGTCTTTTTCTTTTAAAGCATTAAACAATGCCTTCTTCAGTGGTGCCTGAATGGAAGAGAAGCCATTTTTCCCCACTGCTCCTAAAATTGTGTCTGTATTATTCCTACTATGAATAGCAGAAAGAGCCAATTTTTATTCCCGCAAAGGGAACACTTTCATACAGCTTTTTGAATAGTACTTACTCAAATATGGTGGTTTGTAAGGCGCTCGTGTATTAGACAGCAGTCCATCCAACTCCTTCCTCTCCAGAGTGTTATGAAGGGCCTTCTCTTTGCCGAAGGTGGAGAAGGACCTTTCTGCCCCCGGCTGGGCTTCTGGTGTTTCAAACACTTCAGTGTCTGGAACGGAGTCCATGCCAGGTACATGCAGATTGCTGCGGTAATCTGCAGCTTGGCGTCCATCAGATGGAACAAAGGAAGGCATCCAGCACCGATCCGAGTGGCCCAGTGCTTTACATTCCTCCGTGCAATTGGAGAAGAGATCCATGCCTGCAAGCATGAGAGAAAAAGAAACTACAGATATAAGCTTCAGCATCATGCACAGCTGCTGACAGATAAGAAAGATTATGCCAAGAAAAGAGAGAAGTGGAAAGACAGAAGTCGTAAGAACTTCTTCCGCTACCTTCATCTCCTCAACAAACAAAAAAAATCTGATTGTCCAGTCTTCGGAAGTCAAAGACAACATTTAATAAACTTAACTAAATGCCAGAATGTCACACCCACACAAAAATATCACCAGAAGAAGGGTATTGGTGGTTCTATCTCACAAAATCACTTGCAGATCTCACTGTTTAGAAGCTCTTCAAATAAGGTTCAATTCCTCTTGTAAGTTGATGTCTGTGGTTCACCCATTGAAAATACTTGTTTAAGAACATGAAGGAATTGTTTCTACATAAATGTATCTCTGACTAAAGAAATGAAATGCTCTGATTGAGGAAACACAGATTTCATTTACGAAAATGAGATATTAATGAGTCCTAAAAAGGAACTATCTCTGCATACATTAGTATACAGATAGAGCCTACTGGTATTAAAAGCAGATCTCACAAAGTAGGAATCCAGCTTTCAAGTGATAAGGATGGCTTATTTCATCAATTGTTAGATCATTCTTTCAGATAGAGTTTTCATTGCTAGCGCCGCAGTCCTTACTATCATCAAATCATCCAAGTAATCGGACACAAACCTATAATAAATTACTGTAATTAGCGGTACAAAAGTAGCCGTAGTCCAATGTGACATGGCTGTGGACACTATTGACAAAATTGTTAATGCGTTCCCTATATAAGCAAACACTTGTCCCTGTCAACAGGGAACTGTTTGCTTACAAATCCTTTAATGCTATTAAGATTTCAAATGACAAACTATGCTTCTATTGACTACCTTCAGGTCGTCCTTCCAAAAGGATATTTCCTGGCTGTGAATCACTAAATTGTTGGATTATACTTGTTTTGAGAGGAATGGTGTATGAAATCATAGCCATAAAGTAAAACAAGTAACAGCGTCTCCAAGTTGATGTTCAACCTTGTACAGAAAAGCGGAACAGTAAAGAAATATCTTTTTCTTGTGCTTATAAAAAGAACTGTCTTGGAATAGGTGTATGTCAAAACTGAACTAAATCTGTTACAAACATTGCATTTACAAGCATTGCATTAGAATTACAAAAAATGACACTATTTGCAAGAGAAATAGGAAAAAATTTTGAGCAGCTATAATAAGATTCATATAATGTAGCTCATTCACCAGCCAACATTATAAAGAACTGGATTAGCTTGATCTGCAATGTGAGGATTAGTGTTAAGAATTCTACCACCGTTTTGAACCATAATTTGGCTTATATTAGTAATACTTATGCGCTATCTCACACTACGAAAAACAATCTCTTCAGCAAGCAAGAATCTTTCTGAGCTATCAACAAGTGCTTGAGTACTAAAGGCAGACACTTAGAAGAAATATGAAGAAAAAAAGCTTTTTATCTCAGATTAAACTCACTTTATAATGACTTTTTAATTTTAAATTAAGCAATATACAGTGCTAGGTCCAGTTTCGATTAGAACCTTGCATTGATAATTGGCATGCAGAAGTCTGAAAATAAATTACTGATCCGTGAACTGTTAAGAATGCAAACGTGAACTGCAGATATGATTAAGGAATCAGATGAAGATCATCAGGCAAGGCGTACAAATTGTATAGTTCTAAATTCCGTAGTGGTAGTAGCTATCAAAGACTGAAAAGAGAGATTTAGAAGCAGGCTTCCTAGGAATAAATTAATATATAACAATGTCTATAAAACTCCCTGTGTGTGCGTGTATCTTATGTATTGCAATGTCTGCACAAAAGTATCTCTTATGCAAGAAAAGACACTTCATTAATCTAACTTGTTGCCATTCAGAAGATTTAAGTGACAATTAACACAAAATGGTTATTTCATTTTTCAGACTTCCTAGCAAAGTTACACGTAAACAAAAAATAATCCCACTTTTAATAGAAAAATTATTACAGTTACATTTTGCTAACAGCGTATCAGTGACCATATGCATTCAACATTTTCTGAAAGACAGCAGGAGAAAGAAAAACTTATGGATATATATTAAATTATATTATTTTGTCAGTGGGGAGGGAGATATTATAATAATACTGTTTTTAAGATACATATTCAGGCAGACTTTTTTTTCTCTTCATGGATTTATCTCCCCTGGAAAATTACCCTCCATTTTACTATTTTGTTTTCACATTAGCTGCTAAACTGCAAAATGTCTCTATCCGAGTATTATTTTTTCGTTCCGTTTTGAATACTGCTTGTCTACTGCAGTGCACTGAATAGTATTATGTAACAGCTTATTATAAAAGAGATGTTATAGCCACTATAAATCAGGAAATCAGGATTTTGAATAAACAAAGTAATGAATGTAAGGGATATAAAATGTAAGCTTGTATGACAAACTTTTCCCCCCTTAAGGTGAGAACCTGTAAAGGGAAAAAAAAAAAAAATTCTGAATTTTAATATACACTGCTGGAACACAAAGCTAGAATGTAAATTATTATTTAGGATGGGAACAAAATGTTCATTGAGGCCTGGGTTGGGTATTGTTCCTACCTGAATCAGTCACAACATTCCCTAAGAGTTTAATGGATGCAGAACCAAACCCTTGGTTTTAGTATTTTGACAGAAAATAAATTCAAATTAGCAGTCTGATTTTGAAATCCCTGGCACCTATGTATATTTAGACTGCCTGTGATATGAATGTTGGCTTTTCTTCCTCTACCTTTTTCCTATGGGTCATGGTATAGAATTCTCTGTTTCTAATTGAAAAAAATTAAAAACAGTGAGGGGAAGACTTTTTGCTGTTTTCCAAGAAGGAAGGATATATCACGGTAAATTAAGAGAGACATTCAGCACAGAAGAACACCTTCATACACCAAGAATCATGTTCTTGATTTATAACAAAAAGAAATGTTCAGCAGTATAACACTTCCAACTCATCTCCCTCATAAATCTGGTTATATATATGGTCGTTCAGAACTAAACTATCCATCATAATTGCAAACCTACATTAAAGGAAAATGCTTTATATTTTTCATTTAGTTATTATATTAGACCTTGCATGCAGATAAACTGAGCTTTTTAAAGGTGACTCTGAATTATGAATTTCAAATGTCCTTCGCAGACACAAACAGATAGTATAGCGCACTGAAGTGCTGAAGAATGATAAGCATTGCACTGTTCCAAATACAGCACACATATAAAAGCTCATGGCAAAGGCCACTAGTTCATTCCTATCCGTTCAAGTCTTATTACTAGATAGGCCAGTGGGAGATCTGAGCTCTCACACACCCTTAACTTTGCAGATTTTGAAGGAAAACAAGCCCACGCCCCTCCCTCAGAGGAAACAAGAAACTAGGAAAGCAGTTAATATTTAAGTTGGATATCTGCATCTGAATTTCCTGAACTCAGGTGCTTTGAATCAGATACTTGGTAGTGTTGCATTTCTGAAGCATATTCCCAATTTGCTTCCTTTTCATATTTCAAAAGGAGAAAATCAAAATTTCTATGTGCATGAATTCTAATTGGTTTGAAAGACAGTTTAGATCAAAGCAAAAATTAGGCCTAAAACCATTTTTAAATAATGTATTCTTTCTTAATTTAATTAAGGGAGAAGTGCCATACACCACGCTTTTAGAGCAATGAGCGAACACATTCATATGTATTACTGAGTAAATGATGTAATAACAAGCAAAAATACAAATTAAATGTTGACAAAGTATTTTTGTAGTATTGTTATCGGGAGGGGTTTTTTTTTCCCCCAACAAGTGTCATTTTTTCATAACTTTGGCTTTTAATTGGAATTACATGGCATTTTCTGTTTCTTATGTTGTAGCTTTTCTTAAAAAAGCTAGTTAGATGAAAGGTGACGCAGGGAATCAGGCCTCCTTCTCAGGGCTCCAGTACGAGAACAACTATCCATTTGGTTAGATTATCCTTGAGCAGGTTACTCATTTCCCTATGATTCATGTTTTGTGTCAGTAAATAAGGACAATGATGTTAACCTGCTTTGTAGAAGATTTTTATCTACTGAAGAATTGGACTGTCTGAAACGGAGTTACTATCATTCTTTCTTGCTAAGTAATTGGTGTTCTGCCTTGGATAAAACTGACTTCATCTGCATGAGAACATGAATAAAGATCTTAAAGTTATTTTCAATATTCAGCTCTTCCAAAACTCAACTTCAAAGCCCTATCTGGACCATTGAGATGTGGACCGTTATGAAGCACAGAGCCCAAGGAAAGAAGAGAAAAAAAGAAAAAGAAACCACCCTCAGCTTGGGTCAAAGCACTTTTCTAAGCCATTTTCACGTTCACTCTCACTGCAACCGAGATAGACTCCCAGCCCAAGTGATCTTCAAAACAGGTTTTAGCTGTCACTCTACATAGGCTCAGAAGGACTACTGGTTTTCTCTGTCCCTTTATCACTAAAGTTCTTCTTCTGACTTCTCAAATTCTTCTCGTTATGAGCACTGAGATATCATAGCTCTTCTACAATAATGCATACTAACCCTCTTGGGGTTTACCTAACCCGTACCAAAAAGATATGAGACAATGTTTCACCCTGTGCCTTTGCACTAGACCCCTATCAATTCTCTTCATAAAGTCCACTGGTGGAAGCCTAATTGTAGATCTCAGCCAGGTCACCAATGCATGCTGTCCAGTACTGCGCAGAGGAGATTATCAAAAAAGCTGATGCATTTTATAGTCTGTACATATATTTACTTAGCTTCACATCTTGGATATTCCTTCCTGAAGTGCATCTGAGAGCTCATGCCAGTTCAGTGGAAAAGGTGAAACATAGGTAATGCTGTGAAGAACTCTGCATGTTCAGCTTGAGAAAGCTGAGTAGTTAGTGAGCAACCATATGAAACAAGTTGATGGCATGAGTCCAAATCTCACAGGACAGGTGTCTAATCATACAATTTAAACGTACACACACGCAGAGTATTAATTGGCACCCAAGTCGGCAGTTGCACAAGGGAGACCAGGAATTTAATCAACCATGGGAAATAAACGAACCTCATGCTTAGAAATTACTCCTACAGAACATGATTGAAATACAGCGTGTTAATAATAGGTAGTAGTGTTGTATTAGTTGCGTTTGTTCTACAACAAATGGCAGCTTTTGCCTCAACAATTTTCAGACAAAGAAGAGCACAAGTAATTAGAGATTTTGAGAAACCCCTCCCCTCTGTTTGCCGAAAACTTACTGCGCCGCTTCACCTTTGGAAAGTCATTTTCCAAAAAGCTCAGATTCCTATCCCAGTCAACTCAATTCATGAAAATTAGGCTCTTGAACGCTTGAATATCCCCGTTCTTGCCATTCCCCCCTAAATGCAGACGACGGTACTGTTGTACTTCATGGATATTAAGATAGATAAGAATGCTGATAATTATGATGCACTCAGGTGGTACTTTAATGGGAACAATATGAATCCCTTACATACATTCCAGCACATTTGAAACCATGATTAAATCACTATGAAGAAAATATATTTTGTGAGAAGGTGAATTAGAATCTTGCTTCAAAACATAATAAAACATTTTATGATACACAGAACAACTTAGTTCAGAATTTTCATGAAATAATTGTGCAGGATAAATCTATGACACCGTGATAGATTTTCATCCTGTGTGTTTTCCTTCCCAACTCATAACTGACCGTGACTTTTGACAGTCAGCTTGGCTAGCAATAGACTATTGTAGAATAGCTACTTGTGTTTGTTCTACAACAAATGGCAGCTTTTGCCTCAACAATTTTCAGACAAAGAAGAGCACAAGTAATTTTGAGTTTGAGAAATCCCTCCTCTGTTTGCCAAAACTTACTGCGTCGCTTCACCTTTGGAAAGTCATTTTCCAGAAAGCTCAGATTCCTATCCCAGTCAACTCAATTCATTAAAATTAGGCTCTTGAATAGAGAATTGTAGAATAGCTGCTTGTGTGCCACTGGTGACAGTAACAGAAGTCATGTACAGAACAGTAAAAAGACGTTTTGCGAGCAGAACACACTGCTGACTAAAACTGGTAGGGATTAAGTTTTATTTGTCAATGTGAATTATATACTGAATATTTTTGAATGCAAATGCAATGCTTTTGAAACAAATATAATGCTTCGTGGCATCAGGTAACATCTTGACAAAAACCAGCCCAAACTTCTGCCATGTTATCAACCAGCGTTGATGTTACTTCCTTCAGTAATTTAGAAAGAATTTATTATAGAGCACCAGAACGACTGAAAAACTGAGAAGGCATTACCTCAGATATTTGGTCTAGCCATTCAAGATCAAACAAAATTTACGCTCCTTTTTTTTCATCATAGAATACATCACCAAAAACTAATAGCAAGAGCGAAGTTTTTCTATCAAAATATTTTGTTATTGCTGAAGTCAAAGGGCACATTCTTTGCATCACAACATCAGGATTCAGCCCAAAACTTACAGGAAAACTGTATTGTAAGTATGTAGAAAATCGAAGCAGTTTCTACAGAGATTTCTATTTAGATATCTGTTTGGAACTAGCGTTTAAAAAATTGTGCATGCAAATTATTCTCAAACCACAGAACCAATATATTAAATTGAAACTTCTGTGTATTTGAGGTTTCAGTTCAAACTGCTCATTCTGAGTAGACCAAAGCTAACTGTCAGCTTTCATTACTTCATATGTAATCACCGTTGAAGACACAGAAGTTCATAAATCACGTTGGATTCTTAAATGATTTGAAGTTATTTTGAAAGTATAGAATAGATTTTTTTTTCCCCTAGTTTGATAAAACAGAAATTATGAAAATGAAGGATTTGCCCAGGTAAGAACTAATGCCAACTTTGACAGTAGTTCCAGTGTTCATATCTGAGAGAGACTACTTTTTAAATGGAGAGAAAGAATAAAGAGCAGAGGCACAACAATAACAGCACTGAATGCATCTAAAAGAAAACAGCTTTCAGTTGATGTGCAACTATATGATTATATTCTCACCATCAGTCAAATCCAGCCCCTTCTGCAGATGTTTATTCTTTTCTCTCCTGTTTGGTTATTATGGTTCATTATGTTGAGGGACTAAGCTGATTGAAATGTTCATTGAGATGACTGCTGCAGTAAAATGCGTAAAAGAAAAAAAAAAAAAGAATGCAGGGAGGGCAGGAGGAGAGGGAGCTTTTTATAACTCACTAGCACTGATTGCTGCATCAGAAACTGTGTGAAAGAAAGGGTGGGGGGAGGCTAAATACATGGCTTTTTAAAACAACAATAAATCATACGCCATATATAGGCCAAAAATGAAAGAGGCTCTGTGTTCAGATGTAAACTTCTGGCAAGACCTGGTTTGTTGTCAGGTTCCCAGACACAAAATAGACACTCTGTTCACATAGCATGAAGCCCTGCAAGAAGCAGGGAGCTCCGGAGACTCTTGGCTCTTCTTGAGTCTCATTAGGTCTGCATATTAATGACTTGCAGCAACATAAAGGGGCCCTGTAGCAGCCTCCTCTTCCCCCGGTGCCTGGGTTTCCCATCGTTAAGGGCACAGTGACTACAGCAGCAAGAAAATAGAGGACATTAAGAGAGACGTGGGGTGGGTGAGGCAGCACTGCTGCGACAGTACCAAGTCCCTTGCCCTGGTATTTTCTAAGATGGGCGTCAGGGGAAAAAAATGGACAACTGGAGAGACTCTGGCAGTATTTTGTATGACACACTTGTAGCAAATTCTTATACATGATAGAGCATAGAGGAAACACGGGGAAAGAAATCAGTGTATTGAATCAGGACATGCCAGACTTCTGGTAAGGAAGAAAGCACCAGCATTTGTGGCTAAAATGCAGTGCGAGGGTGAGAATGAATTCTAACGCACAGAGCTCAAAACAAATGTCCCTTTCAGGAGGAAACGGACAGTGTGAGAGCAAAGACAGCAAGTCCTACACATGGGAATAACATGGGAATAACACTGCAACGTATGTATTTTCTAGGTGATTCAAATCATAGTCTTTGAAAGCATTTCTTTCCTTTGTCAGGACTGAAAGAAATGTACTTGCGAATACCTTAGTCTTATTAACATGGAGATCACTTATACTATATGGGGCCTTAATTTGACTTAAAAAACAATCCTCAAAAAAATGTTAAGGTATTACACATTCAGAGCACCCAATGTGTCGCCACTGATCCCCAGCAAAAATCCTCACAGTCTAGCTGTCATTCAATCACTGGGTTCATTCTTTCCCTTGGGAACTCCCCCTGCACTTCACGCTGCCATGACAGCTGCAGTGCCTACTAAACAAAATTGCCTAATGCTTTGAAATTCTGCAAATCTGCCGTTGAAAAAAAAAATACACTATGAAGCATACCAACAACTTTGTTTTAATGTGCAGGAAGTTTTGCTACAGCAAATGATGCGGAGTAACATACTCCCCCCCCCCACCCGCCCCCGCCTAAATGAATAAAATGAACTCTGCCCCGTGAATGAAAGGGTTCAAAATTGTCTCCTTGCCCAGGTAACTGTAATAGCAAGCTGACTTAAACCCAGCCTCCCATACAATGTGCTCACGTGATTTATGCCACTCTTGTATTATATTGCTGTAAGTAACTGTTCTTTCTAGTCTCCCTACTAAATAAAGATCTACTATTTCCATTCTCTTATCAGACTTACCAGAGGATTGACCTCGATTAGTGGCATCATGATCACTGTCTCCTTGCTCACTGTCTCCATGACCACTGTCCTTAGAGCTTACTATGTCTGCTTCCTGGAATGCAGAACTAGACACAGAAACAGCTTTACATTAGAATAAACATGAAAGAGGAACTCATAAAACATTCTTCTGCCATCACATGGCCAAACACGGTGCTGCATTCACCCACTCCTGCCTTGCTGCACTGCTTCTGCAGAGGTGCTCTGTCCACCATGAATAAAACTGGCATTTTCAGACCTTGGCAGTCTAGCTGATACAAACAGTAGGCGTTGTTACTTCACCTGGTTTTCATGGAATATGGTATGAATGATTTGGTAGCATCTACTTAAGCTGGATAGCTAAATTTTAATTCGGAGACACCAATGTTATCTGGAAGACCCTACAGCAGCATTCATAAGTATTTAAAGCACGTTTTAGACCAACACAAAACGAGATTTTGTTCTCTTTCCAGTTGGTTTTGAAACCAGCTCAGAAAAGCCGTAATTCAAACTCATTTAGTCGGCATTTTTTTATTTAATATGTCTACATACATTCAATTTCCCACTGCTTGACTACTATTTCACATCTGCAGTAAACACATTTCTGCACCCCATTCAGACTTGCTAAAGCATGCATTAGGAAAACAAGGCTAAGGAGCTCATACCTGTTTACCCGTCGGGGTCTGTCAACTAGATAACTGAGCTCAGCACGCTGATGTTTTGTCTAGGAAAAAGAAAATATTGGGAAATATTTTAACTCTCGATATTTCTGTAACCAGCATCAGAAAATATACCAGAGCAGCTCACCATATTCACTGTAAATGGCAATGTTTAGCTGCAAGTAGGCCTACACAATCTGTTTCTAGGACGTAAGGGAAAAAAACCCAACTCCTATTCTGATTCACACAGATGGGAAGGCATGAGGGATTTTTTCCTGAGTTTTTTGGGATGAGATTCCGACACTTTTTTTCACAGTGCATGCTGTCAAGCGTCACAAGGACTCCCACAAAAATCAACAGAACTATTTCTAGAGTCATGTACTACTTAGTCTGAGGAAAAAAAAAAATTACTGTAATCTAGTTTTCAGCCTGTTTTTAATTCCAGTGTATAAAAATAGGGGGACACAGTACAGTTATTGCACTCTAAGGAAGAAAATACACTGAGATACTCTCAAGTCCTTAAACAGGCAACAGAAGTCAGACTTTTATAGACATGTTGAGGAAAGGTCAACCTTACAAGCCAACATTAGAAATTTTACTGCAAAACTTAATGCTTTACAGAATATCATTCAAACCACCTCTGCCAGACTGGACAGCATTCAGGTTTCAGTGTTGACGTTAAGAGAGAACGTGCTGTTTTCATTAGTGCACAGGCACAGAGGTACCGAGAGGCTGCCTGAGCTAACCCAGTAAAAAGTGATGAACAGGGGAGTATTACAGCATGGCATATGCTTTGATAGAAATTCTCTGAATTCTAGCTAACACAACATAGGCAACATGTTTAACAGGAGGGGACTCAGTCTCTGCATATAATTTCACGGAAACTCTTTCTTGATGCTTTCCTTCGCGAACTCAGCTTTGGGTTAGAAAAAGCTGTTCAGATAAAGAAAAGTCAATTAATAAACCCTAATTCACAAATTAATTAAAGTTCCTGCTAACTGTAGAGATTGCCATAGTCCCAGAGGGGGGTTCCCCCAAAGCCTTACTTGCACATGCAAAGATTTCAGGAAGAGAACAAAAAGACAGTTTTAAAATGTTGCTTCAGAAATCCTTGTGATTAACGCCTCGCGTCACTATTACCGTCAGCCGAGCTACTCTGCGAAAAGCAGTACACACCCCC